CGTGGGGCCTGAACTCTGGGCCTGGGCGCTGTCCCTCAGCTCTTCAGCTCAAGGCTAGCACTCTACCACTTGAGCTACAGCGCCATTTCCGGCTTTTTTTCTTTTTGCTTATGTGGTGCTGGGGAATGGGACCCAGGGCCTCAGGCTTGCAAGGCAAGTGCTCTACCACTGAGCCACCTTCCCAGCCCTGAACTCAGGGCTTTTTTGCTCAAGAAGTGTTTTACCCATTTTGAGCCACAGCACCACTTCTACTTTTTATTTGATTGTTTGCCATTAAGAATCTCACAGGGGACTGGGAAGGTGGCTCAGTGGTAGAGTGCTTGCCTTGCATGCATGAGGCCCTGGATTCGATTCCTCAGCACCACATAAGCAGAAAAAAAAGCCGGAAGTTGTGCTGTGGCTCGAGCGCTAGCCTTGAGCTGAAGAGCTGAGGGACAGCGCCCAGGCCCAAAGTTCAGGCCCATTACCAGACCACCCCCCCCAAAAAAAAAAAAGAGAGAGAATCTCATAGGGGGCTGGGAAGGTTCTCTGTGGTAGAATACTTGCCTTGCATGCATGAGGCCCTGGGTTCAATTTCTCAGCACCACATAAGCAGAAAAAGCCAAAAGTGGCGCTGTGGCTCAAGTGGTAGAGTGCTAGCTTGAGCTCAAAAGCACAGCCCCAGAGTTCAGGCCCCACTACTGACCAAAACAAATAAGTCTCACAGACTTTCCAACCTGGGCTGGCTTCAAACCATGTTCCTCAGGTCTCAGCCTTCTGTGTAGCTAGGAACTAACTTAGTAATATATATTTAACTATATCTAGCAAATTGGAGGATGTTTGACATTACTTCATGAGTTGTGCATTTAATTATGTTTAGATATTTTTTTCTCTTTTTAGAGGTAAGAAGTATGGAGAAACAGCTAATGAGTGTGGAGAAGCTTTCTTTTTCTATGGGAAATCACTTTTGGAGTTGGCCAGGTATGTCTCTACCTTGAATGTATGAGTAGAATTTTTTCTCTTTTGGTCAGTCGTGGACTTGAACTCTGGGCCTGTGGGCTGTCCCTAAGCTCTTCAGCAAGACGAGCGTTCTACCACTTGAACCACAGTGCCACTTCTGGTTTTCTATTGGTTAATTGGAGATATAACTCATAGACTTTCCTGCACCAGGCTGGCTTTGAACCATGAGCCTCCTGAATAGCTAGGATTACTGGCATGAGCCACTAGGCACCTGGCTTGAGAGTAGAATATTTTATTTTTACATGTTTTTATTTAAAAATTGGGGTTTGTGGGGACTTGGGCACGTGGCTTAGTGGTACATTGCTTGCCTATGCATGAAGCCCTCGGTTCAATTCCTCAGTACCACAGAAAAAGGCTGCAAGTACTGTGGCTCAAGTGGTAGAATGCTAGCCTTTAGGAAAAAGAAGCTCAGGGAGAGTGCCCATATTCTGAGTTCAAGCCCAGGACTGGCAAAAAAAGAAAAGAAAAAAGGACCTTTCAGGTTTTACATGAGTTAAGCAAGAATTAGTATGTTTGGAAATATTAATGCAAGTTGTGAATAGCTTTTGATGCAAAGAAGCAAAGTATGTTTTGATTTTAGGATTTATTAAAAGCCAAGTTTTTTTCAGTAGTAAATAGTCGGTAATAGATAAAAGCTCAATATAGAGAGATGAACTTCAACCTGCACATGACAGTCTGAGTCAAGAGTATGGAAGTGTTGGGGGACAGGCCTCACATTTATAGTGATATCCTGTTAGAAAAAAGGGCTAATCAGCGGCCCTGTGGCTCACTACTCAGGAGGCTGGGATCTGAGGATCACAGTTCAAAGCCAGCCCAGGCAAGAAAAAGTTCATGAGACTTCAATAAATTACTCAGAAAAACCTGAAAGTGGTGCTGTAGGTCAAGTGTAGACTGCTAGCCTTGAGCAAAAGAGCTCAGGTACAGCACCCAGAGCTTGAGTTCAAGCCCCATGACAAAAGATAATCAAGGATAATAATTAATGGGTTAAGGGTTAATGATGTAGCTATTTGGTAGAATGCATGGTTTGGTATATATTAGGCCCTGGGTTGAAACCCTAATATCAGCAAATAAAGTCACTGAACAAGGATTGGATGGCGGGCAATTGGAAATAGGTAGCAACTGAAAATAACTAGTAAGATAAGTAGTTGTCTTATTGGACAATTCTTTGGAAATATCCACCATAATTTATCAACAAGGATAAATATTAATAAATATGCAAATGTGTCATCTATTTAGTCTTATTTCTGTTCAGGTTCTACTCGTGTGTCTGGGTATGTACACCGAATGCGCACTGTTCTTGAGGCTTGAACTCAGCTCTGTCCCTAAGCTTTTGTCTCATTGACTTTCCTGATTGGGTTAGTTTCCACAGAAACTAACCCAATCTTAACCTCCTAACTAGAATTACAGGCAAGTTTCTACTCTTGTAGCATTCATTTATTAGTGGCTGGATGAGTGTTACGCACATTTCTTTTGGCCTCGTAGCTTTTATTTCTGTAATTTTTTTTCTCTTTCTGGTTGTTGTTGGCTAGGGGCTTAAACTCAGCCTTTGTGCTGTCCCTGAGCTCTTCCACTCAAGGCTAGTACTTCACTGCTTTGAGCCACAGCTCCCCTTCGAGTTTTCTGGTGGTCGCTAATTGGAGATAAGAGTCTTATAGGAAGTAGCCTGGGCTGGCTTTGAAATTGATTCTCAGATCTTAGCCTCTTGTGGCTAGGGTTACAGGCATAAGCCTCTAGCTCCTGACTACCTTTAATTTACAAATTTTTATCATTTTATTTCACAAGTATGTTGATGTGTATTTCCATTGCTTGACTTTATTTTATTTTTTGTCAGTCAGGGGGCTTGAACTCTGGGCCTGGGCACTGTCCCTCAGCTCTTCAGTTCAAGGCAAGTGCTCTACCACTTGAGCCACAAGGCTGCTTCTGGTTTTCTGGTGGTTTATTGGAGATAAGAGTCTCATAGACTTTCCTGCCTGGGCTGGCTTTAAACCATGATCCTCCAATCTAAGCCTCCTGAGTAGCTAGTATTACAGGTATAAACCACTGGTGCCAGGCTACTGGACTATTATTCTATTGTCCTTTCTTGGAATACATCATTAGGGTCTTGTTTTTGCTTTCTCTTATTCTCCTAGGTTGGAAAACGGTGTGCTGGGAAATGCCTTAGAAGGTGTGCATGTAGAAGAGGAAGAAGGAGAAAAAACAGAGGATGAATCTCTGGTGGAAAATAATGATAACGTAGATGGTATGTGAAATTGTATTTTACATTATAGAGATGCGACATCATACATTTCTTTTATACAGTGATCAATAAATATATTGGGGTATGCTTGCCCTGGCTTGGCTGGTTATTCCTAAGATGCTTGTGCTGATGCTTACATCTATTAGAGACTATAGTGGGGGTAGCAGGCTTCTGTAAGAGGACAATTAATTTTTAAAAACTGGTTATTTAAGTTGGTACTTTAAACATTAAGACAATTGTTTTTTTAATTCTGATACGAACTTTTAAACAATTTATATAACTCAAGTTGTTTTAATAATAATGACTCTGGAAGCCTATTACATATTCTTGTGTCTAAGAAAATTAAATATTGTTTCTAAGTTGAGTTTGATTGCTAGAGTTTTATGAATCAGATAGGGAGGATAACAAAAAACTTGGCATCTGTTAACCTAACTGGTAATCAGAATGCTCAGTACAGTTACCTGGTTGAAGCAGCTTAGGTTTCTTTTAGAAAAACTTGATCTGCTAGCTGGGACTCTTTGCTTGTCTCGGGGGACAGGTAGATTTTAAATTGTTTACTTAAAACCAGGCCAATTGAGGATTTAAAGAGAATGTATTTTTAGTTTCATTATTACTATAATTGTTAAACTCGAAGACATGTTTATGCTTCATGTTCCTTAACCATGTAGAGGAAGCAAGGGACGAGTTGAGAGAACAGGTTTATGACGCCATGGGAGAAAAGGAAGAAGCCAAAAAAACAGAAGGCAATTCTCTGTCAAAGCCTGAAATTGATACAGAACAGGAGAGTGAAGTGCAGAAGGGTGGAAGAGAAGATATGGATGTAAGTGAGCCTACAGAGAAGCTACAGGAAAAAGTTGAATCGACTTCGAATGATTTAACTGAAAACTCTGATGAGGCAAAAGGAGCGACAGCACCAGAAGGACGGAATGAAGCTGAGGTCACTTTTGGGAAGCCAGAACAGGAAATGCCAGATGCTGAGGAAGGAAAATCAGTTTCTGGAACTGATGCCCAAAATGAAGAGTACAGAGAAAAAGGAGGTCAGGAGAAGCAGGGAGAGGTAATTGTTAGCATAGAGGAAAAGCCAAAAGAATCTTCAGAAGAGCAGCCTATTGGGACTCTAGAAAAGCAAAGCACTGCAGTGGAGGTGGAAGCACAGCCTGTAGACCCAACAGTCAAGCCAGTTGATATGGGTGGGGATGAAGCAGAGGAACAGGTAGCTGCCTCTAAAAATGAACCAGGAAAGGCTGGTTTTGAGGAAGAGGGAGGGCAAGAAATACCTTCTGTTGAAGAGTCACCCGTGGTGACAAAGGCTGCAGAGGCCGGATCAGAAGTCTCTGAGAAGCCAGGGCAGGAGACCACAGCTTGCTCTCAGGATGGTACAGTCAATGGACTGTCAGCTTCAGTTGAGACTCCTATTGAACCACAGACTTGTGCAGAAAGGCTGACAGGCACAAAAGATGGCTCAGGTCTACAGGAAGTCAGGGGAGAACTTGCTCTAAGCCAGGAGGAAACTAAGCTGCCTGTAGAAGAGTCAGAGGCAGCTGGAGATGGGGTTGAGACCAAGGTAGCCCAGAGGGCTGCTGAGACAGCATCTGAAGACAAAATTAAGATAGCTGCTAATGAAGAGGCAGAAGAGAGCGAAGAACAGATGAAAGAGGGTGAAGGTAACCGGGACATTCAAGAGTTGCAGTGGGTGGAGTATATTCTGGATTTGACTAACTAATCATGGACAAAGTCAGTTTTCCATTCAGGATTTTCCGTCTGCCTATGGATTTAGGAAAGGGTTAAATGAAAATGGGGGATAGTTGAAGAAGAAGGTTGGAATAAGTTAGACAAGTTAAAAGCAAGACGTCTTTAGCTGGCTTATAAACTAATGCTTTTACTAACTGCAAAGTATGTCTCTGGTTTCTGAAACTTGGCTAGTTATATCTGTAATTTGAATCCTTCTAGCCAATAAAGCGATGGACTAGGTAGACAAGAGGGTTGGTGGGATATGTGGGGAAATATAGGCTAGGCTGGCAGAGAATGCTGAATGGATATTAACTTGCATGCCTCTGGATTTTTAAATTTACTGTTCACACTGTTTCCTTGCATTAGGAAGCAGAACAGTGCAGTAGAATCCACTGAATTTGATACACTTAAGCAGTCATGCCATGTCAATGAGGGTGGCCAACATGGTACCCTTGGTACCCTGTCTACATTAGTCTTTTAGAGATGTTCAGAGGCTTATTCACAATACTTGAAACAAACTCCTTTCTCCAAAAGAGACAAGAAAAGATTTAGCTAAGCTACTAGGCCTCATTCTGTTCTTCCCTCCTCCCCTCCCCATTTCATGCTTGCTTTGGCTGCTAGACTGATTTTTTTAATGTTACTTAAAATGTCCTAACATAGGTCCTTTGTGTGTAATGTCATTGATCTAATCATGATTTGAATTAATAGTATTTTGTATATAAGCCTCTAAATTGGCACGTCTGACTTGAGTTGTGCTGTCAGTTAAGGATTCTACTGTATATAAGATTCATCTAATACTAGCATTAATAACTATTGGTCTATTCAGCTAATTTGTTCTATGTAATTTCTAGACTACTTCAATAGTTTCCTTAATTATAGATATTTAAAGACCCATCAACGTTCTGGTGAACTTTGGCCTATGTGCAGGTCTCTGCATTCCAGCCAGCACACAAACAACTAGAAGTAAAATTACTAAACGGCAGCACCATTGGGCTTTCATTATTGCACTTTAAGACTAAGGATAAAACACAGAATTGAAAGTTGCATTTAAAAAAAAAAACTGAGGTCTTTTTACTTTTGCTCTTGTACTGCTAGGATCCAACCTAGGGCTTGAAACCTGCTGAGTGTTGTACCATTGAGCCATATCTCTGGTCCTATAAGTAGCATTTTAAAGTGTTATGTGGCAGATAGATACTTGTTTTTGAGTGTAATTTCTCATATTTTTCAAATAAAGAAATGAGAGAAAGATTAAATAACTTCCCCTAATCACTTAGCTAATACATGGATCTGAGGCTGGAACTGGGAGCTTCTCCTAGTTATGCAGGATGCCGTAAACTTGAGAATCACGTTTCAAAGCCCTTGTGGGCATAAAAATCTGCAGCGTTCAATCTCCCAACAAAATGTGGGAGTAGAGGTATGATAGAGCATCAGCTATGAGCAAACAAGTCTAGTGAAAACACACACAGAATATTAAGAGTTACCAGCTGTGGCTGTAGGGCCCAGCCACTTTTTTGTGCTTTACTCCTCTTTGTGTGGCAGTGGCGTCCACAGGGATCTTAGCTCAGGTAGAGTAAGTTGCCAGCTCTGCACATCAGTCACAAAGCAATAAAACCCTGTTTTTAAATATTGAATCCAGATGAAATTTACCTGTTAATTTTTTTTTTGTCTTGTCCGTCTTGGGGCTTGAACTCTGGGCCTGGGTGCTGTCCTTGCACTCTTCCTTCAGCTCAAGGCGAGTGCTCTACCACTTGAACCATAGCACTACTTCCAGTTTTCTTTTTTCTGTTTCTTTTTTTGGTCTGTCATGGGGCTTGAACTCTGGGCCTGGGCACTGTCTCTCAGCTCTTAAGCTCAAGGTGAGCGCTCTACTGCTTGAGCCACAGCGCCACTTCCAGTTTTCTTTCTTTCTTTTTTTTTTTTTTTGTGTGTGTGTGTGTGTGTGTGGCCTGAACTCTGGGACTGGGCACTGTCCCTCAGCTCAAGGCTAGTGCTCTACCACTTGAGCCACAGAACCACTTACGGCTTTTTTCATTTTGCTTATGTGGTGCTGAGGAACTGAACCCAGGGCCTCGAGCATGCAAGGCAAGTGCTCTACCACTGAGCCACCTTCCCAGCCCCACTTCCAGTTTTCTAATGGTTTATTGGAGATTCAAGTCTCACAGACTATAGTCTATGAGATTGGAGTCTGCCTAGGCTGGCTTTGAACCACTGCCATCCTCAGATCTCAGCCTCCTGAGTAGCTTGGGTTACAGGCTTGAGCCATTGATGCCTGGCTTTTTTTTTTTTTTTTTGGCGGGGGGTGGGGGTGGGGGGGTGTCAGTCAAGTCAGGGCTTGAACTCCAGGCCTGGGCATTGTCCCTGAGTTCCAGATTTCTGGTGGTTAATTGGAGATAGTAATGCCATGGATTTTCCTGCCCAGGCTGGCTTTGAATCGTAATCCTCAGATCTCAGCTTCCTGAGTAGCTAGGATTATAGACATGATCCTCCATCGGCTATATTAGGATTCTTACAAGCTGGGATGTCAGGCACCTACTACCATATCCAGCTTTCCAGTGAGGTGAATACTTCTATGTGTGGTTGCCATCCGCCGTCCTTACAATCTTGGCAACCCAAGTAGGTAGGATTAGAGGTAAGAAGGCACTGGTGCCTGATTACTTCAGGCATTATTTATTTATTTATTTTATTATTTATATATATATATATATATATATATATATATATATATATATATATATATTTTAGTGGTCAGTTGTGGGGTTTTAACTCAAGGCCCTGGAACTGTCCCTGAGCTCCTTTGCTCAAGATGAGTGCTGCACTACTTTGAGCCACAGTGCCACTTCTGCTTTTCTAGTGGTTAATTGGAGTTAGTCTCATGGACTTGCCTGCCTGGGCTGGCTTTGAACTGCAATCCTCAAGTGGTTAGCCTCCTCAATAGCTAAGATTACAGGCGTTGAGCCACCAGCACCCAGCTTCTCAGTTAATTTTTTGGTAAGGTGTTTTGAATATTCTGTGAAATACATAGATCTACTTCCGTGTTCTTAAGATGTTCTGATAAAAACTGGGCAGTTAATAAGCCCTCACGCAGTCCCAGCTTAGAGAACTTTACCTATAGGAGCAAAACAGTGTGTGGTGACTTTATTTCAAAACTACTGACATAGCCAGAAGTAAAAGGTAAAAGTCTTGACAAAATAGATGCTATGTAGTAGGCATGAAGCAAGAATTTGGTAGGGCTAGAGCTGGGGCTGGGAAGGTGGCTCATTGGTAGAGTGCTTGCCTTGCATGCATGAAGCCCTGGGTTTGATTCCTCAGCACCATACAAGCAGAAAAGCCAGAAGTGGCACTGTGTGGCTCAAGTGGTAGAGTACTAGCCTTGAGCTGAAGAGCTAAGGCACAATGTTCAGGCCCCATGACTGACCAAAAAAAAATTTTTGATAGGGCTGCAAATTTGAATGGAATCATTGAAAGTAACTATTCACTCGAAGTGCTGGCTGGAATCTTTGACATGCTCATTGGTAAGAATTTATAAGGACTGTGCTTTTTTTTCTGGTTGAGAGAAAGCTGGTCTTGAGCATTCTTGTTCTGATTGGAGTAGCATAATTGAATTAATAATTTGTTCCTTTCCCAATATTTTCTAGTAAGACCCAGAAATAGCACAGATCTTTCTAGCTAGGTTTGGCAGAAAAGGTAGAAGCTTCTACCCAGTGAATAAGCACAGTAACTAATCAGTCTTATTCTGAATGTCAGGTTAACTTAAGTCTAGTTTAGACTTTAGATAAATGGAAACTGTTGTACTCAGATCATATGTTAACTGACTTGGGTTAGCATCTAGCCTGTAGGATGGATGACATGTTTAATGGTTTCTGACTACTCAGAAGATACCCTTAGTTATAGTCTCAATACTGAGAAATTTTTGTTTCTAGAAACTGAAGGTTCAGAAGAGGAGGATAAAGAAAACGACAAGTCTGAAGAAATACCAAATGAATCTGTTGTTGAAAACAAAGTAAGTTGTTATTCATCCAGTATGTTTTCATGTGAGCAGGGAAGCAGTACTGATCTTTGAAATTAAGGTGGCATCATACTTTTCAGGCAGGAACTCTACCACTTGAGTTACACCCCTCAACACTACCTACTTTAGTTTTTCCAGTCCTGAAGCTCTGTCCCAGAATCTCTTTTGCTGAAAGCTAGTGCTTTACCACTTGAGCCACAGGACAACGTCCAGCCTTTTCTGAGTAGTTTATTGGAGATAAGAGTCTCATGGACTTCTCTGCCATGGCTAACTTTGAACCCTATCCTCAGCTCTCAGCTTCCCAAGTAACTAGGATTACAGGCATGGTTATTTAGAAATCCTTTATTCAGATTAGAATGGACCAGTGTATCTCATTCTAACAGGATATATATCATTGTTCATTTTACTAACATTATAAGTACCCATACTATAGATTTTAAGGTGCAAGCCTGAATTTTGAATTGAATCAGCCCTTAAAAAAATAATCCATAGTAAACTTAGATTTGTACTCTAAAAATGTCCATCTTGTACTTCAATTTAATATGAATGCTTTGGCTATCCTTTTTAGTCTCTTCAAGAAAATGAAGAGGAAGAGATTGGTAACCTAGAGCTTGCCTGGGATATGCTGGACTTAGCAAAGATCATTTTTAAAAGGTAAACTCTGAGTACTCCTAGGCCATGATTTGGAGTTCAGTGGTTGAAAGTAGAAAAAGCAGTTAATACTGTTGATGTTTCTCTAATGAACTTCCCTTCTTTTAGACAAGAAACAAAAGAAGCCCAACTTTATGCTGCACAGGCACACCTTAAACTTGGAGAAGTTAGTGTTGAATCTGGTAATGTATTTTTCATTGTATTGTCTCTCTTTAACCTCCCTAATATCCTCATTCTCCCTTCTAATAAGATTTCTATATAAGCCAACTTGACTGGTCATAAGTAGTTGGTTTTTAAAAAATACAGTCAGGGCTAGGAATGTGGCTCCAGTGGTAGAGTGCTTGCTTAGCATGCATGAAGCCCTGGGTTTGATTCCTCAGTGCCACATAAACAGAAAAGGCTGGAAGTGGCTCAAGTGGTAGAGTACTAGCCTTGAGCTGAAGAGCTCAGGGACAGCACCCAGGCTCAAGAGTTCAAGCCTCAAAAAAATACGGTCGATTTTCTGCCATTCAGAAGACTTAGGCATAAAGATCTAAGTTTAAAAATAATAAGAGAGCCAGGCGCCAGTGGCTCACGCCTGTAATCGTAGTTACTGAGGAGGTTGAGATCTGAGGCTCGTGGTTCAAGGCTGGCCCGGGTATGAAAGTCCGTGAGACTCATCTCCAAAAAAAAACCACTAGAAAACCGGAAGTGGTGCTGTGGTTCAAGTGGTAGAGCACTCGCCTTGAGCTGAAGAGCTGAGGCCCCATGACTGACAAATAATAATAGTAATAACAATAATAATAATGAGATAGGTTTAAGTTCTCTGCAAACCCTGGAATAGCTGAGCTACCTTCCTAGCCCCATGAACAATCTTTTTTTTTTTTGGTTGGTCATGGGGCTTGAACTCTGGGCTTGGGCACTGTCCCTCAGCTCAAGGCTAGCACTCTACCACTTGAGCCACAGCACCACTTCCGGTTTTCTGCATGGTTTATTGGAGATAGGAGTCTCACAGCCTTCCTTGACTGGACTGGGTTTAAACCAGGATCCTCAGATCTCAGCCTTCTATGTAGCTAGGATTACAAGATGAGCCACCAGTGCCTGGTTCTGTGAACAATCTCCTGTAAGATATTTGGACAGTGTTTCAGTGGGCTTCTGTTTTAGGTGTTAAGGATCAGATCCAGGGTCTCTCAGGCTCTATCACTGAACTACATCTGAGCATGCACCATGCCCCTCACCTATTTTGGGGGGTGGGGGGAGGGTTCAGTCATGATGCTTGAACTCAGGGCCTGGGCTCTGTCTGTAAGGTTTTCTGCTCAAGACCTAGTGTTCTACCACTTAGAGACACAGCTTCATTTCCAGCTTATTAGTGGTTAATTGGAGATAAGAGTATCGTGGACATTCCTGCCCAGGCTGCCTTTGAATCATGATCTTCTTATCTCAACTTCCACAGTAATGTGAGCCACCAGCAGCTGCTAAGCCACCCTTAATGGTTCCCCCCTTTTAGTGGTACTATGGTTTAAATTCATAGCCTCAGACTTGTTAGATAAGTAACCCCCTTTGAGCTCCCAGTTCCCCCTCCCACCCACCCCTGTGTGGGGCTTGAACTCTGGGCCTGGGTGCTGTCCCTGAGCTCTTCAGTTCAAGGCTAGTGCTCTATCACTTTTGGTTTTCTGTTGGTTAATTGGAGATAAGAGTCTTTTCTGCCCAGGCTGGCTTTCAACCGTGATCCTCAGATCTCAGCCTCCAGAATAGCTAGGATTACAGGCGTGAGTCACCAGTGTCCAGCTTGATTGGTTATTTTTGAGATGAGATCTTGTCCAAGTGAGTGCCTGAACAGCAGTCCACCTATCTTAGGCTTCCAGTTCTAGCTGGGATGATAGGTGTGCACCACCAGGGCCACCTAGTAAATCTCATGTGTGTGCTTCAGCTGGTCTTGAATTGGAATTATCCCAACTTCAAGTAGTCACTGGTGTTCAGCTTAGGTGTTTTGTCTGCTTTGTCTTCTCTTATATTTTGTCTTTCTGTGCAGTGAAGGGTTCCAGAGATAACAAAATGAAGTGTAAAAGAGAGTACATTCCTGATGACTGTCTGAATTTTGGTAATTCTGTTAATGCTGTCAAATTCTAAGTTGTTCTTTCTTTATTAGAGAATTATACTCAAGCTGTGGAGGAGTTCCAAGCTTGCCTAAACCTGCAAGAACAGTATCTGGAGGCCCACGACCGTCTCCTCGCAGAGACTCATTACCAGCTGGGCTTGGCCTATGGATACAACTCTCAATATGATGAGGCAGTGGCACAGTTCAGTAAATCTATTGAAGTTATTGAGAAGAGAATGGGTGAGCAGTATCTTCTTTGATCCAGTAATTGACCAGGTTAAGGGGGCACGGTGGGGGGCCATGGCGGAGGTGCTAGTGATTCACTCTTATAATCCTTGTCACTCAGGAGACTGAGATCGTAGCATCAGGGTTCAAAGCTAGCCATGCAGGAAAGTCCATGAGACTCTTCTTTCCCGTTAACCACCAAAAAGTTGGAAGTAGAGCTGTGGCTCAAGTAGTAAAGAAATTGCTAACACCCAGGCCCTGAGTTAAAGCCAGGATCAGCACATACACAAAAAAGATCTTTTTGTGATAATTGTTACTGATGGCCTATTCTTTGTAGCTGTCCTAAATGAGCAGATGAAGGAGGCTGAAGGATCACTCACTGAATATGAGAAAGAAATTGAGGAGCTGAAGGAACTACTACCTGAAATTAGAGAGAAGATAGAAGATGCAAAGGAATCACAGCGTAGCGGGAATGTAGCCGAATTGGCTCTGAAAGCTACTCTGGTTTGTTTAGTTTCTTCTTGCATTTGCTAGGGACTTTTCATTGTGACTTGGTTTCCAGGGAGAGTTGGTGATAAGAATATGAGGCTCATGTTAATGTTCCTATCAAGCAGTAGAACAGTAGTTAGAGAATTTGTTCTGGAGCCAGATTGTTTAGGTTTAAATTCTATGTTCTTTTGCATGTGTTACTACATGACATTTCTGTCTTGGTTGACCTGGTTAATATGAGCTTTTTTTTGATGGGGCCTGTATGCTGTCCCTGAGCTCCTTTATTCAAGGGCTAGTGAGTCATCTACCATTTTGAACCACAGCATCATTTCCAGCTTTCTGGTGGTGAATTGGAGATAAAAGTCTCACAAAGGGCTGGGAAAAAGTCAGAGACTTTCTGAGCCACGATTCTCATATATCAGCCTCCTTAGGAGCATGAGCCACCAGCACCTGACTAGTGTGAGCTTTTAAATTACAGGTCTTTATTTTTGCCTACTTTGCTGTCGTGTAGGTGTTGTTAAATACGTATTCCCATCCAGGCATTTTTGGTTTACACCTATAAGCCTAGCTCCTTAGCAGGCTGAGACCTAAGGATCACGGTTAGAAGCCAACCCAGGCAGAAAAGTCTGAGACTCTTACCTCCAATAAACTGCCAAAATCACCCTAAGTAAAACTGGTTCAAATGGTAGAGTTGCTAACATTGCATATAAGAACCTCAGGGACAGTGCTTAGCCCCTGAATTAAACCTCCAGGACCAGCACTAAGCAGGGGGAGTGGGTGCGGAAATTATTCTCTGCCTATTCCTTGCTACTTCATGGAGGCCACTAGCATCTCATTCCTTAATCAGGTGCTTAGGTGATGGGTACTCATCATAAAATGGTATGGTTTGAATTCTTCCTGGATCTTACTTAGGTTGTCATCTCTCACAGGTAGAAAGCTCTACTTCAGGTTTCACTTCCAGTGGAGGAAGTTCTTCGGTCTCTACGGTAGGTATTCAGGTATTTTGTACCTCACTGTGGTTTTACAACTTATACACTGCTAACAAAGTGTTCTTTTTTTTTTTTCCTGTCAAGATTGCCAGTAGAAAACCAGCTGATGGTGCTTCCTCATCAAATTGTGTGACTGATATTTCCCACCTTGTCAGAAAGAAGGTAAGATTTGTCTTTTCTAACCCTTTCACCAACTTGTAGCAGGGTTGGGGAATTCCAAAAAATATACCAGGAAAAAGTTCCATATAAACCTTTCTAGATTTTCTCAGACCATCAGGAAATCAGACACAGATGATTGATCAGATGAGTGCATTTTAGGAAGCCATCGGAGGTTTTTTTGAGACATTCACCAAGCAGTATGGTGGTACTAAACCTCCCAAGGTTGGCAAGTCCAAGACCTGCTTGGTGTATGTTGCTATTCTGTTTAAAACGATCCCCAAAACTTGCAATGAAGTTCTGCCTATAATTCTTTTCGCTTTGGAGTCACTCACTTGTACTTGTTTACTGACTGAAACACAAGAGTTCATCTTATGTTTGTTACTGTTCACACTGCTGTTCCTCACAACCACCCTGCCCTGCCTTTATAGTATGCTGGGACAGGTTGACACTGTCACTAGTGTTCAAGACATTTATGCCATTGGAGCTATGTGTTTGTATTCGTTGTCTTTTAAAAACAATAAGTACCTTTGTGAAGCCTTCACCATTATATCTTTAGAGAAAACCAGAGGAAGAGAGCCCCCGGAAAGATGATGCAAAGAAACCCAAACAAGAGCCGGAGGTGAATGGAGGCAGTGGGGATGCTATCCCCAGTGGAAATGAAGTTTCTGAAAGCATGGAGGAGGAGGTGGGCAGTTAAGCAGGGCTTATCCCTTTGCTTTCTTCTCAGGTTCTGGGGAAGTTCTCCCAAGTGCATGATCTCTCTTGAGCCCATTTGGATTGCTCAAGTTCAAGAGAAATAGTGGGTTATGGAATACAGAATGAGTCCATAATTGAGACCTGTGTACCACAAGTTGCTGCAAATAAATGAGAAGGTGCCTAATTGCAAGGCCAACATTTGTTTGATCTTTTCTATGATAATTGGCTCTGCCAGCCCTATTGAAAAAGAAAACTCTAAGACATGGCCTTTTATTTTGTGGGCCTTGTGCTCAGTATTTGGAGCAAAGAGTGAAGCAGGCTATGGTTCTTCTATTTTATATGTTGTAATGGCTTCAAACAGTCACTTATGCCCAGGCTCCTTGTTTTATTTTTCAGCCTGAAAGCCGGTCAGCCGTGGAGGGGACAGTGGATACTGGAGCCACAGTTGAAAGCACTGCAAGTTAAGAAAGGGAGCAGAGGTTCCCTCCTGAGGGAAAGTGTTTTTGTATATAATGTATTTTTTCACTTTTGGGGATTCTTTTTGTATAACTTCAATAAAGATTGTAAGCAAAGGTTGAGGCTTTGATGGCTTTTTTCATTGTGCCTTGGGGCTCTCAAGGTTTTTACATTGTATAGCCAGAAGGGTCCCTCTTTTCTGTATTGATCTCTGTTGGACAATTCCTATCTTATGTGATGATCAGATCAAGTGTGGCTGTTGTAGGCTCTTTATCTTCCATGGGTGCTATATATCTGTTATCAAATACTTGACTGAATTCATCTGTCTTGTAAACTTTCAGTGGTGCTATCCCTGGATGGGGGCTACAAAACACTTGCTGTCTGGTGCTGAAAATGAAGTGATTCAATGATCAGGTTCATCTGGTCTCTTGGGTCATAATAACTGTCCAGGAAAAAGAACTCTGAAGAAAACTTGAAATGGTCACTGAGGAGAAAGAAAACAGTTGGTGTGCACAGTTGGAAAGGGGCTGAGACTGAGGTAATAGTAAACAATTGGATGTAATGGGAAGCCCTTTGGGGGAGGCTTGCTGCTAGAGTTATATTTGTTATTTTCTGTACAGAAGGTTGAAATATGTCAACACTTGGATGTTACACTGTCTGCAGTTTTGACCTAATAAAGATGCTAATAAAAAGCTTCTGTTCTGGAATTGTATTTAAACATCTTAGCCTGGGATCCTGGGCTGCCTGGAGCATTTAGTGGGGAATATGGAACTGAGAGGCAGTTCTGTGTATTCAGGGATAATGGGGTACTGTTATTGATAATGCTATCACCGTAGGCTCTCGCTGATGTCCTGATGATGCAGGGCTTATGTGAAAGACCCTGACTGAGCTTTGATTTAAGTTTTTATGGACTGGGCACTGGTGGCTCATGCCTGTAATCCTAACTACTCAGGGGGCTGACATCACAGGATCACGGTTTGAAGCTGAAGCTAGCCTGGGCAGGAAGGGAACTTAACGGGTCAGGCAATATTTGTCCAGATTCTGAACAGTGATTTTGTGTTGTAACAGAACCAGTTTGTTTCTCTCAAATAAAAAATACTTGCCTGGGCAGGTCATAACTTTTGGCTACAGAGTATAGTATACCTACCTCCTCTAGGTTTTTGTTTGTTTTTTGGTCAGGACATAATTGGCATGCTACATTTGACCCCCGAGATTCCAGTGACTAGGACCTGGGGTTAAGCCCAATATAAAACTGCTTCAGATATTCTCTATATGGGTCTCTTACCTTGGATGAAAGGAAGTTTGTCAATAAAACTGATGTTAGTAAAGCTTAGTCTCAAATGCCAGGTAATGTAATTTAATAAGTTGGCAAAAGGAAAACGTTAGAATTCATCACTGTGTGTCCTTATGGATTCCATCCAACACACTAGTAGAAAAGATAACGGGGCTGGAAATAGGCCTTTTGCCTCAGCTCAGAAACCAATGGAGGTTGGCCAAAGCTTTCACCCTTGACTCTGACAGGGTTCTGCAGAAGGCTCGCGATCCACAAAGCCAGCATTGGGAGCAAGGGAGTTAGCCTTCAGTGAAGATGAGCTGGACACCTGTGGAACGTGAGAAGGCAAGTCTAAGCCAGCTTGTAGAGGGGACAGTTTCTGAAAGAATGAAGTTAACATGTATGGGTTTTTTTTTGTCTGGTTTTGGTCATGGTACCTGAACTCAAGCCTGGGCACTGTCCCTCAGCTCTACCACTCTACAACTTGAGCCACAGCAGCACTTCTGCTTTTTCTGCTTACGTGGTGCTGTGGAATCAACCTAGGGCCTCAATGCATGCAAGGCAAGCACTCTACCACTGAGCCACCTTCCTAGCCCAACATGTATGTTCTTGCTTTGATTTCTTTGTTACATAATATTGTGGGAGTAACTGAAGAAAACATTTGGTACTGACAGGAACACTGAACAGCAGAAGCTGAACAGTCATCACGTGTATCCCCAGCAGTAGTTGAGCCCTCACCAATGGTGGGTAGTGGTACTCATGGGCATTTACTGGGTTAATCGCTGCCAATGCCTGGACATCTGCATCTCTTGCATTCACCAGCCGTAGAAAGAGCTCCGCCTGACCTGCCTGGGGAGGTGAAATGGTACTGCATCTGTAATTTGGAGCGGACCCTGCCCTCAACCTCTGCACTCACCTGGGGAATCCCATTTAGCTGCCCTAGGCTGAGGCTGGAGTCCAAAGGAAGGGTTCGAAGTGGGAGGCGCCAGCGGCCACTTAGCACTCGCTGATCTTGGTCAAATAGCACTAGCGAGGTCCAAGCTTTTGGTTGTGCTCTGGCCCATTCCACTCCCTGACAGGCCTGTAGTTCACAGACCAACGATACCAGTGGTGATGGGGGTAGTCTGTAGAACCAAAAAAATGGTCAGAACCTAGTGCCTAAATCCCTTCCCAAGGGTTTCATAGATCTTAGCCCTCAGGGTCAATGGCCTCTATACAAGCCTCAAAGGATAAAACGATTTCCACCTACTGACCTGGGTACAGGCTGCCTGCTGGCTAGGACGGCACAATTGCCCATAGGTCCAGGAGCTGGGGGAGGGGGCAGGCAAACAGCTGGGGGCAGTGCTGTGGTCCCTCCTGTGTCCTGTCCATTTCTGGCCAAGCCAGTCACTAGCTGCACCCAAATCCAAGAAGCCTCAAGGCCCCTCAGGAAGTCATAGAAAATGACAAGGCCAGCCCTGTAGGATAAACAAAACGAGCAAATGCTAAGTCCATTCCACCCAGTCACTGCTCTAACCCTGCATGGTCCTAGTGGGTGTCCTTATATAGCAACAGTGGCCAAGCAGAGGTTGTCAAAGGCCTCACCCAGGGTCATAGGGTGCAGGGCCCAAGACATCAGATGGGGGTAGCAGGGAGTGTGGGTCAAGCCACAGATGCTTGGTCATGGTTCCAGGAGGCAGCTGCTGTGGGGAAAAGTGTTGCTGTCCAGAAGGCCTCCAAGCTGCCATGCTTCAGAACTGCCCTCTCCCCAGCCCCCACTCTGCGGGCCCACCGATACTCACAGCCTTTGCAGCACCACTAATTGGACTGTTTGTGGCACCTGGAAATGGTGGCAGCGGGGGTGCCATAGGTGGAGGGAGGATCAGGGGATCTCTTCTCCCCTTCAGGAATGGACAAGGATCTGCTAGGCGTCTTGACTGCCCCTGCTCTAGGGGTAGAGAAAGAGGGTAGTTACAGACATGCTCCCCAGCGCAAGATGTGCATGGAGTGGGGGGAACATCTGTCAAAGCATACACGTGTCTTGTTATAAGCGTGATCCCTCGATCCCTTTTTAGGAATGGGCTAGGATCCGTTTTCACTGACCCCAAAGTGTACGGCCAGGATCCCTCCGCATCTGCAAAGCCAGAATTTCTGCCTCTAGGAGCTGATTTTCGGCCTCCGCTACTAGAAGATCCCGGGAGGTGGCACTTGATTTTTCTGCAATTCACAGGTTTGACCTGTGACAGCCGGCCCGGCTGGCCGCACTCCAGTGTTAGGACTCTGGACAAGCTTGAACTTGTCAGCTCACATTCTAGCCTCGGTCACAAAGACCATCCTATCCTGGGGCTTGGCTTGCATGCCTGTTCCGCCCTGCCACACACCCTCTCCTCCCAGCTCCCCTGGCTGCGGGGTCCCCACCCCCTCCTCTCCGGTTCACCCTTGTGGCTCTGCGCCCGCCGCAGCGCCAGCGCTGACGCCTCCACTTGCAACTGATGTATCTTAGCCAGAACTCCAGGTTCCCGACCTCCACCTCGCATGTAGGCTTCACGGAAGGCCCTAGAGAGCAGGGGATGGAAAGGTGGTCGCCCAGGACTGAGCGAGGACCTGCTCCACACCCTCTATGTGCCTGGTCCTCACCCGATCTCGGCAGCCAAGGTTCCCGGGTTGACTGGCAGCACCGGGAAACAGAGTTCGACATCTGGCCAGGTCTTCGGCCCGGTCCTGCTGCGAAATGTTGTCACAGGCTCACGGGCCCGACCTTTGCCCTCCTTGCCCATCCCGGCCTGGGGCTCCCGGGCTGGACTGGACCAGCCGCTCACCCTGTCTGGGGCTGTAGCTCCTCGACACGGGTCCCCAGCGCCTGCAGCGCCCCCTGCGTCCGCCAGGCCTCGGCCCTAAGTTCTCGAAGCTCCCGCTCCAGGCTGAATAGGCGCTGCGTCCTGCCCCGGGCCAGGGCTACAGCTTGAAGACGCTGTTTTAGTTCTGAGACATCGAGGAAGTACGGAACGGTGTTAAGAATAGTTCCGGGGCAGCCGCAGAGGCAGGCTGTTCTCTAGCCTCAAACTCGCTCACCATCCCCACGGCGCTCCAGGACCCGGCCCTGCGCTTCCATCTCCACCAGGCGCTGGGCGCGAGTCCCCTGCAGCGCACGCAGCCGCTCGCCAGGGCTCCCCGCAGCCTCCGCGGCGGCTTGTGATACCCAGGGCCCCAGCTGCTGTATGGACCGCCGCAGAGACTGCACCTGGAGAAAACAGTGATCCGCGAGCATCTCAAGCACGAGCGGGAGGAGGACGCCCCGAATTTGTAGATTTAGGAAGGGCTGGATTGGGACTTACCTGTTCTGTTAAATTCTGTAGAGCAGATTTGCCGGTCTCTTGATAGGAGTTGCCTCCGGGTTCCTGAGACACATCCTGGGGACAGGGCAAAGTGAAGAAATCCGAGTCCAGCTTGTTGGACCAACTCCCTGCCCGCCTCCACCCCCCTGCCCCTCCAACCATCCACCAGTCTCTCTTCCACCCCCTGCTACAGCGACAGCCTTTACCGCGGGGCCCCGGGGTTCAGTGGCTGCTGAAGGCTGTGCTCCAAGAGTTAGTGCCTGGTTCAAGCGGCCAATGCAGAAGCGCTGGGTGTGGGTGGCCAACAAGGCCCCCGAGCGGAAAGCCATGTCACAGGCCCCACAGGACAGAAGCCCTGGCTCCCCAGAGGAGGGCACGGGATGGGACCTGCTTGCTGACATGGAGTCCTACAGAATGGGAGGTGAGGGGCAGAGGAGGAAGAAGGGAAAGAATATCTCTATTAGGCCTACGAGATCTTGAAGCTTATGTTTGGGGAAAAGCCTTATCTCCCTGGGCAGCAACTACAAGTCTGGGCAGGTCAGGAGGCATGGGGAAGTCTTGCAATTTTTGGGAGGAGGACTTGATTGGAAAAGTGTCGTCTGTTTTAACTTACTGGCATTGCATAACTACCAAGTCTCTAATATTGCATCTTGCTTGCCCAGGTAGTATTCTTTTTTGTCTTGGTCATCATGGGGCTTGAACTCAGTGCCTGGGTCCGGTCTCCCAGCTCTTTTTTTTTTTTTTTGCTGGAGAGTACTCTACCACTTTGAGCCACAGCTCCATTTCCAGTTATGTCATGGTGGTTAATTGGAGATAAGCGTCTCATAGACTTTCCTGCCCAGGCTGGCTTTGAACTGCAATCCTCAGATCTCAGCCTCCTGAGTAGCTAGGATTACAGGTGTGAACTACCTGCTCCCAGGCCATATTGATAGAAGGGAACAGCCACCTCCTAGGGTGGCTGGACCATTATTCCACCTTTGTTCATTTAATAGCCTCTATCAGGAATGTATCAACTTTTTCATAAAGCTTCTTAGCACTCTTTTTTTTTTTTTGTCGGTCGTGGGGCTTGAACTCTGGGCCTGGGTGCTGTCCCTCAGCTCTTCAGCTCAAAGCGAGCGCTCTACCACTTGAGCTACAGCTCCACTTCCGGTTTTCTGGTGGTTTATTGGAGATAGGAGTCTCACGGTCTTTCCTGCCCGGGCTGGCTTTGAACCGCGATCCTCAGATCTC